AGGAGGGGGGAGAGAGAGAGAGCGAGAGAGAGAGAGAGAGAAGGGAAACGGGGGGAGGAGGAGGGAAGAGGGACGATGATGATGATTATAATGATGATATGATGATGATGATGGTGATGTGATGATGATGATGGTGATGATGATGATGATGATGATGTGATGATGAGGAGGAGGAGGAGGAGGAAGAGGAGGAGGAGGAGAGAGGGGGAGGAGGAGGAGGGGAGGGGGGGGAGGAGGAGGAGGAGGAGGGAGGAGGGACGAGAGGAGGAGGAGGTGGAGGAGGGGGCGGAGGAGGAGGAGCAGGAGGAGGGGAGGAGGATGCGGAGGCAGAGGAGAAAAGGAGGAGGAAGAGGAAGAGGGGGGCCTCCCCCGAGTGTTCCCTTTTTATCCGATGTGGCCCAATGCTTGCGCGGCGTCGCAGTGCCGTTTGGCAAGCCATGCAGCATGAACAGGAGGAGGAGAAGGAGCAGGAGAAGGAGGGGTGAGAGGAGTAGGAGGAGGAGGAGGAGGAGGAGGGGAAGGATGAGGAGGCGGAGGAGGAGGAGGAGGAGGAAGAGGAGGAGGAGGGAAGGAGGAGGGAGAGGAGGAGGAGGAGGAGGAGAATGATGAAGATGATGATGGTGATGGTGGTGGTGATGATGAGGAGGAGGAGGAGGAGGGAGGGAGAGGAGGAGGAGGAGGAGGAGGAGGAGGAGGAGGGAAAGTAGGAGGAGAAGGAGGAGGAGGCGGAGGAGGAGGAAGAGGAGGATGAGGAGGAGGGAAAGGAGGAGGAGGGGAGGAAGGGGGCGGAGGAGGAGGAAGGGGGAAAAGGAGGGGACGATGGGGGGAGGAGGAAGAGTAGGAGGAGAGGAGGAAGAGCAGGGGGAAAGAGGAGGACGAGGAAGAGGTGTCGTTTTCGGCCGCCTCGGGCCGCCTGGGGGCGAGGAGCGCCCAAAAGCTTTTCGAACCACGACCGCGAAACTCGACGAATAACCGAAGTGCATTCAGCCTTCAACCTCCTCGTCCGTTGTTTGGCCGTTGCCCCGGACGAAGCTAGAACCTAAGCGCGCGCGTAGCGCGCGCGTGGTTCTTATATATATATATATTATATATATATATATATATTATATATATATATATATATGTGCGTGCGTGAATGTAAATATGTATATATATACATATTTATATATGTATGAAAGTATACATGTATAGATGAATATGTACGTGCGTTATGGTGGTTGCTTGCCCTCTGACTCGAAAAGCATGTGTGTTACCAGTGCTTCATACCACAGGGTCAGCAACAATTAGAAAATGCATGGCTTTCAAATCAGAGGGTCAGCAAACACTGGAAAGCATTGTTTATGTGGTGTTTCGTGTGGTTGTGGATCTATGCGCGCCCAGGCAGATAGATTATGGAAAACTTGAAGACCTTGAAAAAACAGTGTCTTTACAATGTTTGCTGGCTGTCGTACCTAAGGAAAGCATGTGGCTTACAATGGTTGATCATCCCATCCCGCTCGTGCGGCACGCTTTGGAGGGCTTTGTCATTCAGTCTGGTGGCGTTCAGGTAGTAAGCTTTCCTTCGCAAGGATTTCTTAGTACGGGCTCCTTGGGGGCATCCTTCCGTAAGGATCCTTTCTGAAGTACCTTTGCGGCAATGATTACATATTCAAAAGTTTCTGCGTGAAGGGTTTGTTGTTAACGACTCTACAGTGAGGACTCTTTTTCCCAGATCAGACTTGCCTAAGGGGTGTTTTTTTGGTCAAGAAGAATGGTGCTTAGGGGGGGCACGTTGCCCGTTGATCGGAGGTTCTGCGGGTTCCTCGGGTTCCTCGGGTTCATCGGGTTCCTCAGGTTCCTCGGGTTCCTCGGGTTTTTCGGGTTTCTCGGGTTCCTCGCGTTCCCCGGGTTCCCCGCCCATGGCTTCTCCCATCCTTATTCTACCCGTTCCAAGCGCAATGCCAAGCACTGCTCCCATGCAATCGGAAGCTTTCCCTAAGTAGGATCGCGTCGGGTTCATGTTCAGGGTGATTCAGGAAGGATTCCTTGCAAAGGATTCCCTCGTTCAGCATTCATTCGGAAGGCTCTGTATTAAGGACTCTCCAGCAAGGATTCCTTAGCAAGGATCCCGATCTCTCTTGATCGTGGCGCCTAGTGTCAAGCCAAAGGGCCAGCGAACATTGTAAAAAAGTGCTAGGTCAGAAGGCCAGCAAACACTGTAAAACATGTGTTTCCGGTCGTTATGGACCTATGCGCGACCAGGTCGGCAAATTCACGAGAATTGAAAACACAAAAAAACAGGAAGCAAACATGTGGTTTACTATGTTTGCTGTCCTTAGTACCTGGAAAAAATTGTGTTTTCACAATGGTTGATGGTCCGAGCCCGCTCGTGCGGCACCCTGTGGGGCCTTTGTCATTCAGCCTGGTGGCGTTCAGGCAGTAAGGATTCCTCAGACAGGATTCCCTTGCTCGGGTTCCTTAGGGACTTTCTTCCGAAATGAGATTCGTTGAAGGACTAGTTAGCAATGAATTCTTGAGCTCTTGTGTACAGGATTCTTCGGCACGAAGAATTATACAGAGAGGATTCGTTGTTCCAGATGATTCAGGAAGGACTCCTGACTAAGGAATATTCATTTAGAATTGCATAGAAGGCTCTGTATTAAGGACTCTCCAGCACGGCTTCTTTCGCAAGGATCCCAATCTCTCTTGCTCGTGGCGCCTCGTGTCAAGCCAAAGGGCCAGCAAACATTGCAAAATATTGGCTGCCAGATCAGAGGACCAGCAATCACTGCAGGCAAGCAAGATATTTATATATATATATATGTGTGTGTGTGCGCTCATGCCTTTGAGGATCCATACGCGCTCAGGTAAATGGTGGAAACAAACAAACAAAAAACATTGTTTACAGTGTTTGCTTGCCCTCGGACCTGAAACACTTGTTTCTTATGGTTGATGGTCCGAGCCCGCTCGCCGGCACCTTTTGGGGGGGTTCTAGGGCTCCTTGGGAAGGATCCTGCATCAAGGATTTGTTCCGAAAAAATCCTGTATGACGGATTCTTCAGCAATGACTATTTAGTAAGGAGTTATTCTGAAGGACTCTCGGTTAAGGATTCTACAATGAGGATTTTCAGTCCGCTTCAATCGTAATCCTCACTAGGGTTTCCTCAGCAAGAATTCATTCCTGAGGAAGGTTATGTACAACAGATCCGTCGGCACGACCATACATCACACGCTTTCTCTTTATTGTCTCTCTCCCACTTTCTCTCGCTCTTCGTGATTTTGTAGGAAAGGGCATTGGCCCAGGGTTTTTTTAGGATGGCAATCTGTCCCCGGTGCCAAATTCGCGATGGGTTGGCAGATTCTTCTTGCGATGAAAACCGTGATCGCGCAGGGCCGGCAGATTAAAGTGTTGATGGTGTCACTAGCGAAACGATAGTTCTTGACATTTCGATCGGTAGCTGCCGGCGGCGAGGCGGCCGCGCCGCCCCTGGAGCCTCTGGCCGGCGCCCCGACGGCGGCGGGGCAGAGGCGCCGCCGGGCGAGTTCGGCGCGGACATCGAAGACGTGAGGCCGACGACGAGGAGGAGAGCGACGTCGGCGACGTCGCGGGGGCAGCCGATGCGGCTGCAGATGCCGAGGCCAAGGCCAAGGCCAAAAAGAGTTATCTGAGGCCCCCCGCGTATGAAGCTGGCGCCCCCCTCAGACACCTCGCGCACGACGCGAACAGCGGCAGCCTCGACGCCCACTGCAACAACGAGAACCGCAAGGAGGGCACCGCGTCGCGCAATTTCAATAGGACTCTTTCCGAATCAACGCGGAAACTGGCTCGAGGCAGGCCCGTTGGTCTATTGGCGGCGCGGTTGCGAGCGAGCATGGCTTCGAACGAGAGGGAAGACCGCTCGGAGCTCAAGCGGGGCAAAGGCAAGTTGGCGCACCTCGCGACTCCTGAGGCTCGCCGAGCTGCGCGCCGCGACATCTACGAGAACCCTGACTTCGTCGAGTGGCCGGAGCGCGTCGGGGCCAAGGAGCGCCCCCAGCGCGTCGGGGAGCCCGAGGAGCCAGACAAGATTCCGTGACGGGTGACATACAAAAGTTTGTTGTTTGTTGCTCGTTCGCTGGCGCGCCCACCCACTCGCCCCTGCACCATGCCCCCCTCTCAGCAGCGCGTCTCGTGAGTAGCGGGGTTTGAAAAGCGGGGGGGGGAGGAGGGCAGCGAGAACCAAACCAAGTACATCGGGTAGGCCTGGAGGGCGCGGGGCGCGGGAGAGAGTGGGGAATGGGGGACGAGGAGGAGGCGAGGCGGGCAGCTGGCGTTCGTCGTCCTCTGGCGCAAGCTGCTCGCTCCAGTCAGGGGGGCAGGTGATTCGGACTAGTGGTTGTTTTTCTCGCGGCCGCGCGCGGCGTCTCCCCCGCGCAAGTCGCCGCGATCGGTCACGCCGTCGTGCCGCCATGCCAGGTTCACGCCGGCAACTCAACAATCCCTCCTCTCTTCATCTTTCCCGACCCCTCCCCCATTCCCCAATTCCCCCCCGCCCCCCCCTACGTCCGCCCCCAGGCGTTCCAATGTTTTCGCACCCGACGTTCCCGACTTGTTTCGGGCCCTGGGACCGTCCCGGATCGATGCAGTTCGGAAAATGTCGCCACATGATGGGGCTAAAGTTTCATTCGTGATTGTTCACGGTATTGCATTTGTTCGCGACATCGGATCTCAGGGGTTGGCGTTTGCTGACCAGTCCTGGGCATTCGCAAAGCAGTCCTGCCTTGCCTGGCTCCTTCCTTGCGCGCGTTTGCTGGAGGGCCCCGCCTGCAGGTGAGCGACGCAGACGGGCCGTTTTCACCGACATTGGCGCGAAAGTTGCCCGCGCAAGGTCGCGCGTAAGCGCCCTCGCCTCCAGTGTGTTGTGCCGCGGTGGCGGCCCGCGTAAGCCGCGGCGTAAGGTCGTTATGTCATCTCGCGTAAGACCAGTTTTTCCCGTCGTTCAGGTGTCCTCGTTATGAGGGCGGTTCTGCCTCCCTCCGAGATCTTGCCCGTCTTCAACATCTTCAAGAACAAGAACAGCAACATGGGCGACCAGATGGACTACTCCCAAAGGAGCCCCCGCCGCCGCAGAGCTGACCCACCGACTTACAGCCCGACCACGACTCCTCCGCGGCCGTCGCCAAACCTCCATTCGCAAGTGCGTGTTTTTGCTATCCAGTGGCCTCTGACACGCCACCTCAGCGTGCAGCTGCCTAGCTATACCCACACCCCCGACGTCGTGTTTTTCAGAACAGGGACCTCCAGAGATCTAGACCCCTTCCCGGGAACCGGCTCTGCATCCTGAGTCGTTCGTGGACGGTCCCGAGGCTTGGTGCTTGGTCGGGTCCCAAAAACTATCGAAAACCGCCAGTCGTGATGCCTTCATGACCACAGGGTTTTGGGTATCCCATGGTGGATCCACCAAGCGCCCCCAGCGGGGCCTCTCCCTGGGCGCGTGCCGTGGAGCTCGGCCTGCCGCAAGCGGGCAGGATCCTCGGCGCCTCTCGGAGATGACGCCTACGAGGGCAAACCTCCCGTCGTGATCTCTTCACGACGCGAGGGGGTCTGGGAATTATCCCCCCGAACGTTGCCCCTGATCGTCGTCCTCGTCTTTCGCCGCCCGCCTCCGACCCTGGCAGCGACCTCGCCCCCTTCTCCGCAGCGCCCAGCCGGGCAGAGCCCCAGCGCGGCTCCGCCACGTCTGCCTGCCGATCGGTCGTCGCCGCCGCCGCTGCCCTGGGGAGCCAACAAGCAGAAGTACGCGCCCAGTCACGTCCCTGGAATCTGGGCGTTGCAATCTTTTCACCGCGGACGTTTTCGCTTGACTTTCGGCCCCAGGACCATCATTGGTCGACCCAGCTGGAAAAAATAGCGCAGAAAGATGGGGTCCAGGATCCAGGGCTCCAGCCGTGATGGTTCGCGAAGTTGACTTGTTTTTCGCAACGTCAGATCTCAGAGGAGGCACAGAGAGAGTCGGACGGGGCTAGGACCATGATGAATATGTTCCAGGGCGTTCCAGAACGCCAACGTCTGATCTCAGAGGAGGCACAGAGAGAGTCGGACGGGGCTAGGACGAGGATGAATATGTTCCAGGGCGTTCCAGAACGCTCTCAGAGCGTCCCGAGACGCTCTGAGAAGGCTGGGGTGCCCGAGACATCCTCCAGAGCCGCCAGAATTCAGAGACTCTCGGATGATCCTCTCGATGTTGTCCTCGTCCTGGCTTCGTCTCAAGGGAAAGAGGAGCAGGAGGTCAGAGGCAATGCTAGGATCGCAGGCCTCGAGGTTGACACCAACACCAATATCGGCGGCGTGCCTCCACAGAGGGGAGAAGATCCCAGTCTCGGTGATGCTGGTCATATTCTGGCTTCCAAGGTGGCCGAAATATTACCACCAACACCGAAATCTAGGATCATCTTCCCCCTGTGGAGACAACCCCCTGTGTTGGTATCTAGGATCATCCTCCCCCTGTGGAGGCAGCCCCCTGTGTTGGTGCTGGTGCCAATCTCCAGGCCTCCAATGGGCGGGGATGGGCTCAGGGGGGAGGCCCCCCGTCGCCCACGCCTCGCCGACAGAGGGGCCCGTGTGGCTCTCCGCTGTCGGGGGCCCGGCGTCGATCCATCGCAGGGAGACGACGACGACGACGACGACGACGACGACGACGACGACGACGACAACGACGCCGACGCCGCCGCCGCCGCCGCCGCCCACGACGACGACGACGACGACGGCCACCACTAGCACCACCACCACGGCCACCGCCAGCACGACGGCCATGGCCACGACCGCAGCGACGGCCACGACGGCGACAGCGAGGATCAGTCTGCCCACGACCCTCGAGATCTGGACCCCCTCCCCAGGACCGGCTTTTCCCTCCTGCGTCGTGTTGCTGGCAGCCCCGAGGCCTAGCGAGGGCCCCTCAAGGCCGAAAGGGGCCAAACACCTCCCGTCGTGATCTTTTCACGGCGAGGGCCCAGAGATCCGATGTATTGATTTTGTTCAATACGGGGTCCCGGAAGTCTCGACCTCTGCCCCCGGTCCGCTTTACATCCTGAGTCGTTTCGGACGCTCTGAGGGCCCTGCGAGAGCCCCCAGAGACCGAAAACAACTCCGTTTCAAATTGCTCAATATTTTGGAGGTTTGGGGGGAGGTGGTCGGACGTGGCTCGGACGAGGATACATCCGTCCCAGAGCGTTCCGGAACGCTCTCAGAGCATCCCGGAGCGCTCTGAGAAGGCCGCGGCGCCCGAGACATCCTCCAGATCCGCGGCATCTCGGAGATTCTCGATGTATCCTCGTCCCTCGTGGCTTCGATGTATCCTCGTCCCTTGTGGCTTCGATGTATCCTCGTCCCTCGTGGCTTCCTCAGATCTTCGAGGAGGAAGTCCTCATCCCTCGTGGCTTCGTCTTGAGTGGGAGAGGGTCGGAGGGTGGGCCGGCGAGCTCGGGCGCTGCCCGGGGCCGCGGCCGCCCGTCCTCGGGAGGAAGCGCGCCAACCTGGGCGACCTCATCGAGGAGACGCTGCAGATCATGGAGCTGCACGGAGGCCAGGGGCGCGGCCCCTGGCGTCCCCATTTTGTCCGCGCTGGGCGTCTTCGCCCGGCGCCAGGCCGCAGGGCCATCGCAGATCGATCTGGCTCGAAGAGTGGCTCGGAAAATGATGGGGCCCAGGGCTCCGCTAGTGGTTCGGCAGATGGAACTGGACTCGAACCAGCACACAAGATGGGTTCGTGTACACGTGCACTGGTATACTGGGCGAGAGTTGAAAGCTTGAGACCCCGTCTTTAACCTCCTCTTCCATGTTGACGTGGCCAATGGACTCTGCCCTGGCCACGCCCCGCCGCCACACTGAGCACTGCAAGGATGAAACGCCGCGGGGCCCGCCTAGGGAGACCCAATTCACCCCCCCCTTCAATGCTGCTGCGGCGTGCCGACCAACGCGGGATGCTCCACGCCAATGTTGAGGAGGGTGAGTCCAGGGAGGCCCAGGCGCGCGGGAAATCGTGCCGCGCGTGCAGTGTGCGGTGATGGCGATGATGTCGATCGATGGTTTTAGTTTCCACGCACGGTATCTTACGATGTTCCAATCTTTTCGCAACCTCGGATCTTATGGTTTCGGTTGGGCGCAGAAGTGGCCCTTCGCCAGAGTGGCTTCTGGCCCCAGACATCCCCGTGCCGTGAAAGAATCACGACATGGAGGTTTTGGATTAGTTTCGTCCTCTAGGGGCCCTAGCCAGGCCCCAGGACCGTCAAAAACGCACTCAGTATAAAAAGCCGGTCCCAGGGAATGAGTCGATACTTCTGGGGGTCGACGTTGTGGAAAAATCATGATATCGAGGGGTCTGGGTCCCGCGGCTGCGCGAGTGGCCATTCTCGGAGGAGGGCCAGTTTAGACAACGGCGGTCCTCCCCCACATGTTCCGTCCCTTGTGGACCTCCTGGAGGCTCCTCTCCGCCACAGTTGGATCCGCCTCGAAAAATGGGTCAAGAAGACCCTGGCAGGGGTCCTTGGACAGATTTCAAAGAGCTCTGGGCCTCCCGATCGACAAATGCGACTCGACAGCAGCGGCTTGCGCCCTCGGGTTGAGGCATTCCCGCTGCCCGCTGCCTCCCTTTAGCCGAGCACCGAAGGGCACTCTTGCCTGGGGTCGGTCTTGCGTGCAGCCGACTTGGGCGCTCGGCAAAGGGGCGGGAGACGAGGGGAGGTGAGGATGACAGGAGAGTGGCCCCGAAGGGGCTCGGAACAACCCCTGAACTTCAGCCACGGGCCCAAGGTGTGCTGGAGAGGCGCGCGTCTCTTAACCCCCCGTTTGTTTCCCCCCCGTGGCCTGTGTGATAAGTAGCACTTCCATCGCCTCTAATCCCCGCTTCCGCCTCGCTTCCGCCCGCTCAGCTGCTTGCTCCCACCTTATCTCCCGCTGCCGTATCGGTTTCAAATATTACAGGGCCCTTGGCCTTAGAGCTCCGCAGATCGCTCGAGCCGCGCACGCTTTCGACAAAGCCATCGGTGCTGCGCACCATTCCATATCACAGTGGTATCTTGGAGCTGTGCTCGTTGCCCCGGCTTATGGGCCGTCCATATAGCAACGACGGCGTCTGCGACACGTCCAACGGAATCGAAGCCCAGCGGCTTCCACGCGCTCTTGCTCAGCGCCTACGCCAGCGTCTGCGACGCCAGCACCAACGCCTACAACGACTACCTTGCCAATTCCTACGCCAGCGTCAGCGACGCCAGCGCCTACGCCTTCAGCTACTACTTCTCCAACAGCAGCGTCAGCGACGCCAGCTACTACATCTCCTATCCGACCCACATTTCCGATGCCAGCTACTTCTTTAGTACCCTCTCTCAGGACTGCGTCTTCAAAGACGCCCACAACGACAACTTCCACATCAGCAGCGTCAGCGACGCCGCATATTACATCTCCTACGCCAGTGTCAGCGACGCTAGCTACACCTCCTACGCCAGCGTCAGCGACGCCAGCTACTACACCTCCTACGCCAGCGTCAGCGACGACAGCCATTACATTTCCGACGCCAGCGTCAGCGACGCCAGCATCCCTTTTCTCATCAAAATGGCGGACATTTACAGTTTCGGACAGTCAGGCAGTGATACGTACATGGAATGGAGATCTTTCAAAACGGAGAGATTACAAGCAAGAGGTAAGGTTGTGGAAGACCAGCGAGAACTTGTCAGCGACGCAAAGTTTAGCATCGAAGCTCGTGCTCAAGCTCACAGGGACGGCCAGGAGCGAAGCACTAAATATGACGGAGGCGCAGCTGGATCCCGCCGCTGATGCCAACATCGAAGACGCCGACGAGAAGAAACGCAATAGGAACCAGGTCGGCATCGAGAATGCTTCGCAGCATCTGAAGGCGAGCTTAGGTCAGCAGAAGCCCGTGCAGAAGGGCGAGACCCTCGAGAAGTTGTTCGAGTCGATTCAGCATCACCGACGTCGAGGTGAACGCATGACAGACTCGCCCATGTGCTTCGAGACCGGTCTACAGTATTTACGCGAGAACGACTTGGACCTCAGCGCGCTGGACGACGTGGCTGGCTGGCCTCTACTTCGCAAGACCGGGCTCACCGCCGAGCGCCGCGAGCGCGTCGTGGTAAATCTGGCGGACGAGCACTACGGTTACCAGCGCATTCGCGGGCTGCTGGTTCGGACGTTCCCGGACTTCCACAGTTCGGAACGCCACGCCCCGCCGCCGAGGCCGCGGAACAACCAGTCGCGCCAGCAAGGCTGCCGGCGAGGTGGGGGCTCCTCCAGCCGTGGAGGGCGCCCCGCCGACGTCGTCGACGAGCCCGACGACGACGACGGCGAAGAATCAGAAGAGGGCGACGAGGACGAGGCCGACGCGCGGGACATCTTTCGCCGGGAGCTCGAGGCCTTCAGCGCCGAGCTCGAGTCCCCCAACGTGGACGCCCCCGAGGCGTTCGACGGCGACGACTCTGCCGAGGTCGAGGCCGCCGCAGCGGAGCTCGCCGCTATCCCCGAGGCCACGGCCACCATCAGATCGGCCCAGGAGGCCCTCATGGGCCGCGGCAAGTCGAACAAGTCCGCGCCTTCGCGCCGAAGGGCGAAGCTGCAGAGCCGGGTCGACCAGCGCAAGAAGGCCTCGGAGCGCTGGGACTGCGGCGAGACCGGGCATTGGACAGGGGACGAGGAGCGCCCCGCGCCAGGCGCTCGCAAGTTCGCGCCCAAGGACGGCAAGTCCCAGGGTGCAGGACGGCAAGCCTCAGGGTGGAGGTCGCCCAGAGCGCCGAGCTCAAATCACCGAGCAGGTCCAGTTCGCGGACGAGAAAATCGCCCCGCACCCGCGGGGGCCTGCGACGCCGCCCGCCGAGGCCTGCGTTTTTTTCAGAGCCGCTGATCCACCACTTGCCGAACGCCAACGTCTCGGCCAACGGCGACAAGCCCGTGGGCGAAGGCATCGGCGCGACGTGCACGGCTTGCCTTTTTTTCCACGCCTCGGCCATGAATTGGCACGAGAACCACATGGACATCCTCGCCAAGATGGGCCCCGCCGACCAGATCCTCGAGGAGCCGGAGGACGTGGTCTACGGATTCGGCAGCGGGGGCGCCCCTCCGAGCAAGTCACGCGTCACCGCGCCGTTGGTGCTCTGCGGCCAGGCCGGCCGCATCGTGTTCAGCATCGCGGACAGCCCCGGCCAGGACTTCATCTTGCTTGAAAAGCTCGACATCTCTCCGCATCGGGAACTCTACCCAGAAGCTTATCACGATCAGCGCGGGCCACCTCGCGATCATGCTGCAGCTAGAGGACTGGCGGGCCATCAAGGACGCTGGCATGGAGCGACCTACCAAGCCAGCCAACCGACCTAACACGATCGACGAGCCGATTGTCAACGCTACGACTAGGACCGGCACGCTGTTCGACACTATTAACAAGCTCGTCACGAAGAAGGAGCCGAACGCCCCGAGGCGGTGTCAGCCTCGCCGACCGAAGGGGTCGCGGCTTATGTCTGCCGTGGCTTCAGCTCTGGTCTGCTGCTCCACTGAAGCTCCAGCACCAAGCCTCACGCTGGCGACGCTGCCGCAGACCACCTATCCCACGACACGCGTCACCGAGCCGCTGCAGGACTGCATTGCCTGCGGCGAAAAGTCCTACGAGGCCTGCAACCACCTGGGGTTCTGCTCGGACTGCGCGTTCGGCACGCCCATGACCCTGGGCTACGACACCGAGGCGACCAGCCAGAACGAGGTCAACATCGCGGAGGAGGAGCAGCTACGCGTGAGGACGCTCAAGAAGGGGGCGAAGCCGCAGCTGATCGCAGGCAAGCCCGCAGCCTTCGCCATCGGAAAGAGCGGCATTCAGCCGCGTCAGGTCAGCCAGGCGTCGACTACCAGCCTGGCCAAGTCTAGCACCAGATCCAGCCCAACACCTACAGCGAACAGCACCGTGCTTTACAAGCGGCGCTGCAACCTGGACAGCAAGCTCAGCGATACCTGGAGGAAGAATGGAGGAGCTGCTATCAGATGCGGTCTTCCAGGCTACGACCTCTCACGACGGCTCGCGGTCAACAAGCGAGCTGGAGGGCAGGATCAGGAAGAACCTTGCCAGCGGCAAGAGCGCAAGGGTTCGCGCGGCATTTCCTCGCCAGCCGTGGACTTCACAACGCGCCTTGTCTTCAAGATCGACCCGGCTAAGATCCCGCAGCTCAAAAGGGACCGGGCCAAGTCCAAGCTCATGGTCGGCCTGCTCTTGCAGCCGATGCCCCGGCCGCGCAAGGAGTTCGGCGCCCAACTCGCCGTCTCGTTCGAGTGGCCGAGGTACTGTGACGGATGGGACCCCAACAAGAACGCGATCGCCAAGCAGCTGCAGGAGCAGCTCCCTCGGGCAATAGACTTCGACGGCTGCGCGTTCGACCCCAAGACGAAAAAGGGAGTCCACATTAAGATACCGTGGAGGATCATCACCGACCACTACGGGTTCGACTCGCTAAGGAGGTTCCGCGACAGGTCGCATCCCCACGCAGAGACTCGCGGCAAGGACGCGAAGAACAGCTAGAATCACACGCACAAGC